CCCAGGTGGTAGAGGTGCTGGTCATCACGAGCAGGACCGTAAGTCTTATTATGAATTTTTATTTACTATTTTTATTCGGTTATTATAAATTAAATACTGTTTCTAATAATTTTTAATTATATTTGTAGTTGAGCAACGTGCACGTAGGAAAGTCTGAGGCAAAGCCAACGACCCGACATGTAGGGAAGAGCTTTATTTGTTTTTTCAATCACAGAATAATCAAAGAAATGATGAGAACGAAGATGATGATATGTAGGGAGGAGCTTTATTTGTATGTTATACTTGTTGTCACACTTTGCTACTTGTTAGAATTGTAAAACTTACTTTGTTACTTGTTAGAATTGTCAAACTTTTAGTTGTTTTATTTTGGTATTAAATTAATTATAACAGTATTTGGTATTTAATTTGATGTTGTTATTTAATTTTTGGTATAGAATTAATTATAACAGTATTTGGAATTAATTATACCCAAAATCGCTAATAGAAAAAAAATGAAAAACGTTATTACCGGCGACATGAGTATTACCGGCGACATTCTCTTTAGCGGCGAGATGAAGTATTATCGGCGACAGGTGCATTAGCGGCGACATTTGTCTTTAGCGGCGACAATCTGATCAATAGCGACGAAGCAGTAGCAGCGACTTTTTACCGGCGACGTGTCGCCGCTATTAGCTTTTGCGGCGACATCTCGACCGTTACCGGCGACTTTTGTCGCCGCTAATTGCTCATTTCCTTGTAGTGTGTACATGTGTCGTTAAGATGATATGTTTTACCATTTTTCATGCTATTTTGTTTACCTTATGTTTTAGGTAATTTATATTTTTGTAGGATATTGAGAAAAATATAATTTATTACTTATTTGATATTCTATTTGAAATTAACAAGAGCTGATAATGGTTTGGTTCAACCTGCCATTTGAATAAAACATGAACTAAACTGAAAAAATTGGTTTCTAAGGAAAAAAACCTTTTCTGTTTGGTTTTCCGGTTTTGTATTTTTCGTACTACAAGATTGGCTTCAAGCAATATAAAACACTTGACGCATGACTCCTCATGTTCTTTAAGGTTGAAGCGTAATAGTATAAATAGTTTTTGTTTTCTAATAGTCTCGCTAAATACGAAATAGTGAGCACTACTTCATCGCTATCTCTATAGCATATATGTAGCTTGTCTGTATTTACCGCTATTCATTATCTATAACACTAAACTATTCACACTTAATTTTTGTGAGTAAACCATATATTGTAATTTGTATACTACTTTTGTCTACTTTAGGTTTTACGTTCCATCTTTCTTGGTGTATGTTTTTGTAGGATATTAAATCCTAGTTGAATTCAGAAAATATCTATTATTACTTACTTGAAATTTTGTAGACAAAAATTAAATGGCGTAGTTACTGTTTTCAAGTTTTGTATATTTGGTTCTACAAGATTGGTTTTTGGTTTTCAATTTTTGGTTTTATTTAAAGACCAAAAAAAGACAAAATTGCAAAAATGGTATCTGTGGTTGACAAATTTATGTGTTTTTGGTCCAAAACGAAACGTTGGTGCACCACTGGTCCAAAATTGGATCTTTCTATCGATTTTGGTCCTTATGATTGGCATTATTGTGTGGTTTTGGTCCATACCCTACCTGAAATGACAAAAATGCCCTTAATTAATTCTTTTTTTTTTAATTTCTTGCTATTAATTTCTTATTATTTCAATTAAAATCCAAGAAAAAATGTCAATTACCCACCCCACCCCTCCTAATTTCTTTTTAATATTTGGAACCACCACCACCGACGGACCGCCCTCCTCCTCATCAGAACACCACCGTTCTCCTTTGACACCCAATATAATACCTTTACAGGAACCTTCATAAACCACCCTTATACCGCTACCAACAACCACCTACATCACGTACGACCATCTACCAAGCCACCACCGTCATCAGACCACCTCCACCGTCAGCTGCCACACCACTACCGTGATTAAACCACCACAACCTTTTAAACCACCATCGAAATCATTACTAACCCAAACCATCTACGTCGCCGCAGGAAAAACGAGATTTGCAATGGAAAGTCAGAAAAATGGGATCTGCGCCATGTTAGAGGATGGCGGAGCTCGATGGAGCTTTTGGGTTTTCAGTCCTCGTCCTTCATCTTTCAGTGATGAGGGTTTTCAATCGCCACCACCACCTTTTTAAGCGTTTTTTGATCTCCTAGCGCCGCCACCACCATCAATATCTTTCGTTCAAGATCTGAGGGCAGCGACGCCGGAGAAAAAGGAAAAACCGACAAAGAAAGAGAGATGATAGATCCTCGAGCCATAGATCTGAATAGATCTAAAAATCGAGCTACAAATCTAAACAAATATGAAGCCGACGATCATGGTGACGACTCTTGGCTGCATCCGACGATGGATTTTGCAATGGACATTGTGATTCCAGTTCTGTAAGTGAAGCCTTAAGAGAACATTAATCAGTGGTCGGGGGTGAGAGGTGTAGTAGTGGTCGGAGGTGAGGCGGGTGAGGGGTGTAGCAGTGGTCGGAGGTGAGGCATTGATCTTGGGGACGTTGACAGATGCATCCTTTTCTTGAGCTTATTTGTTTGAATTTCCTTCCATTAATCTCCTTTCTACCGACGAGAACATTGATCAGTTCACATGAGAGAGAGAGAGGTTGTTTTTGTATTTTCAATTAGTTAAAAACATTAATATAAATAAAAAATGGAAAAACAAACTATTAGGGCATAATGGTCTTTTTAAGTAGACAGGGACCAAAAACGATAGAAAGATCCAATTTTGGACCAGTGGTGCACCAATATGTCGTTTTGGCCCAAAAGCACATAAATTTGCCAACCATAGGGACATTTTTGCAACTTTGTCCCAAAAATATAATTTGTATTTATAATGGCTTCTAGAAGCACAAAAGCTATCAGTCTACACTACACTTATAGCTAACATTACAGCTAAATGACTTGCGCATGCAATAGAGGTGCTAATGTGCGTGCTATGGCTCATGAAGTATTAGTTCTCATTTGGTTGAGAAATTTTAGGGTGTGTTTGAGTATGGAAAAATTTTTAGTTTTTCAGTAAAATTTTTCAAGAAAAACTGAAAATTTGAAAATGTATTTGGTACGTTCATTTTTCCAAAGTTTTCTAAGAAAATAAAAATTGCTATTTTTCCAAATTCTATGTAAATTAGTAAACTGATTTTTACTATTTTCCATAGTTTTTATTTTCTAAATATTTCTAAAATATAGACCCTACAACACACTCACCCCTCACTTACACCCTCAACCCAACACCCACATCCACCTTTACCGTATCCCACCCATCCCAGACCCACCTCTACCCTACCCTACCCACTCCCACACCCACACCCACCCTACCTCAATCCACATATCTACCTCACCTCCACCCCCTACCTACACTCCAATACCTATATCCACAACACCCTCCCGTAACCCACCCACCACTACACCACACCACATCCACATCCACCCCTACCCCCACTCTCATCCCTACAACCCACTTCCACCCTACCTTATATCTTCATCCATACAACACCGTAAAAGATGTTTGCAATCTTAATAGCATTATAGTAATATAGATTGTCTTATTTGAAAATGTTTTCTTTTTATGTTTACTTTTAATTATACATTAAAGTTTATGTTGATGAGCTTATATTAAAACTTTTTTACGTTTTGTTGAAATATATTTATATTGTAATATTTGGGAAAAACAAAAAATGAAAAATGAAAAATGATAGAAAATATACAACCAAACATGTTTTCTAATTTTCTACAATGGAAAAAACTCCACTAGTTTCAACCAAACGCGTTTTCAAAAGTTTTAATTGAAAACTAAAAATGAAAACTCAATTACAATTTTTGAAAACATTTTCAACAAAATAAAAACAGTTTTCAATAACCAAACACACCCCTTAGATATTTCTTATTTCATAATGTTGATCATGACTTATAATGCTCGTGACTAATGGACAATTCAATAATCTTAAACTGAAAACTGAAATTGCCAATTGGCAACTACAAATTTAAAGAGTCGTTAACTGAACTACATACAAACAATAATCATGAGCCAATAGGTATGTTCGCCTTTGCCTAGAGATGCACAAAGCAACTTGTTTTCATTTTAGATATGGGAATTAAAGAAGTGAAGAAGCCACTTCATGAGTGGGTGAATGTTCACAGGAACTGTTATAGTCCAAATACTCACAACATTTTGTGTCGATGCAGGTCACCCCCAAACAAACCATAATTCATGAGAAAGGCAAAATTACCATCTCCATTATCAATATCGTCATAACCCCAGTCACTTTGTCCATGCTTTACACACATATCGTGTGTGTACCATTTTTCATTCATACCAAAAGACCAACAAAAGGTCCTTCATCCACAAAACAACATGTCAATGTGTTACACATGATGCATTAGCTAGCTAGGCACATGAAAAGTACATCAAATAGAATAAGAATTAGATATAAGTGAGTTCTACCAGCATGAAGCAAAAAGTTGAGCAAGAACCAAACTGTTTAAAAAATAAACTGCAGGGTGCAAATCCATCAATGGTGGTTGCCAACGTTTTGAAAATGTTCTAATATATGACAATTTTGATCAACTACCATAGTCTACAAAAACAAGATAAGAGTGCTAACAGGTCATCATTCATATATGTGATTAACAGTCAAACAATCATGGGGGAAGTACCATGTCGCTGCAATAAAGAACCTGGGTTTTTGACCTTTATCAGAAGTGTCAACGAAGTCGGCATGTCTTTTGAATTTTGACCATTGTGACCCAGGCTCTGGTTTAATAAGAGCACCATGTTTCAAGAAGCTAAGAAAGATCACATAGTCTCCCATCGCCGCCTTTTCTTGTAACACCCATTTCATTTCGCCAAAATCTAGTTCCTGAAGCTTGTATAAACATTTTGACAAGCGATTCGTCACATAAAGGTTTTCACCTGATGTTAGAAATTCCAGATGCAAACCATATGTCTTCAAAACATCCTTGATTTTGAGTAATGTCCATTTGGGCTCTGGAATGAGTCTCAATTGAAATAAACAACAATTGGTGTGTAAGGTGTATATCTTCCCCTTGAAAGCATGCAAATCAATGATGGGGAAAGTGGAGGAGACATGATTCCATGCTCGTGTACCCACTACAGAAAACCATATTGTATCGGCAAATCTATGTGACACTACCAACACCCACCCAGATATTGTAGGTGAAAAGACGAGGATAGCCCTGATAACTGTTAGATCTCTAATACTTCCTAGAAAGTGGACAGCAGGGAAGTAAAATTGATACCTTGTGATAGGATTCACAAGCCAGAAGTCGTGGGTTTCCTTCCCGAATAAGATCAGGTAACCACAGGTTAATCCAACACAGAATCTGCCAAAATAATGGGGAAGGATGGTTTTAAATTTCCTGAATTTAAAGTCCGATAGGCAGCAGTAATACTCTTCCCTATTACCAGAGGGAGATATATGTAAAAACATGGGTGGTCTAGACGCCATAAATTTGTTTCTGTTGGTGTGTGCAAGTAACCTCCATGTTTTGCAAACTCCACTAAATGCAAGAAAGTCGATAAGTCCCAGTTGCATCATTACTAAAAAAAGCACATCATCGTTAAGATTTGACCAACGTGCTTCACCACAGTTGTCAAAAGTCTTTAACTTCGTCCTGCTAGATTCACCACGATTCTTGTTTATAGTGATCATATTCCTTGTCATGCCAAATTCCTACAGTTTAATTAGAAAAACAGGTATTCAGGCACTTGGTAAATTCAAATTCCTTATAAGATACAAAAAGTTGTAAACAGGGAGTAAGCATGCACATAAATAGAAACTACAATTGGACTACAGTAATAAAGAACAATTCCGGGTGATGAGCCACGGAAGAATTCACCACAGTATATAGATAATCTGAGGGATCTTAGGCTAAAAGTGAAAAGGAAATTAGTGGATACCAAAAGGAATGAATGACTATAATACCACATAAAATGGTTACTATAGCATGCAGTCACCGCCGTATCAATAACAATAATAATAATAATAATAATAATAATAATAATCATAACTACAAAAAGTAAATACAATAACTTGATATCACTTATACCAGATCCTGTGTCAAATAGATGGATGATAGAATATGTGAACCTCAATCAGATTATGAAAAAACAAGAGGCATGCATAGATATGATATTTTGTTGTATATCTAAACAAGAAGCAAACCAAGAGAAAATAAACCTGTTTTTTGTTGAGAATATAATATATGGGTGTAATTAGAAAATGATTGCTAGTTGATTCAGAAAATGCTCTAAATCACCCCACCAAAGGTTCATTTCAATCAACCATATTTTGGAAACTCAAGGGAAGCCCATTTCAGATCTATCTCCTAGAAAATATTGCACACCTATTAATTTTGGACTTGATGTTGTAATAGCTATTAAAATAGGTAATCATCCATTGCAAACTTATTATCTTGCCAACACTTTTCCCAAAATCATAAAGTTTATATCTCCAATATATATACATCTTATTTTGCCTACAAATATTAAGTAAGTCCCATATGAATGGAGTAGAAATTAGAAGTTCTAGAAGAGATGCATTCTCTCAACAATAATAGTACTTGGAAATTGTAGATCAGGCTCATGGAAATATGTTGTTGTAAATGGTTACTAACTAATTTTAAGTGCAATGACGATGGTAGCAATGGGAGATATAATGCAAGACTTGTAGCACTTGTTTGATATAAATATGCGGGGATTGATTAACTTGAGACATTTTCCTTAGTGGAAAAAGTAAAACTGCATTCAAATCTTGCCATCTATAGCTGTGAACTTTGATAGGAGATTACATATAGTTACATTCATGAAGTGTTTTTGTAAATGGAAAGTTGGAGACAGAGGTCTATGAATCTACTACTTGATTTTGAAGAGAATCTCCTAGACCAATGATTGAGTGTTTTTGGAAAACAAACCACACCATATTTTACAAACATTTCCCTAACCAAAGAAATTCATTTTAATTGTTTATGTGCACGAAAGTATTCTAACATGTTTATGAGAAATCAGAAATCAATTTAATTTCTTAAAATGTACACTTGCCAAGGTCTTAGAAATATGCTATTGGAAGAATTGAACATCTCAATCTCTTGGTGAATGACATTGTATTGTGACAACAAGGCAGTAATTTCAGTCACACAATACAAAAGCATGTTAAAGCAAATAAACATTTCAAAGAAAAGATTGAAATGAAATGGAGATACAAGCTATACATCCCTGATCATTATCAATACACACACTAAAGGATAACCAAAGAATCCCTTTGATAAATTGATTGACAAGCTGGCAATTGAAGTTATCTACAAACCCACACATAGAAGGTCAAACCCAACTGAATGGGAAAAAAATTATCAACAAAAGATTTTAGATCCATGCATCCTTTTTAGCTAAAAAAGGATGTAAATTGTAATATTCAGGGACAAAATAGGCTTTTTAATCCATTTAGTTGTCAAAAAACAAGCACTAAACACCTCTCTCCAACTTGGCTCCCAATTTTATAGTTTTCACAAAAAAGCAACATGCATCATAGGTTAACATGATGTAGACAAATCGACTACAAAAAATAATCGATAACTTCAAGATCGAAGTATAAAACCCAAATATCACGATAG